TGCTGGGGTCCAGCCGATCAGGACTGAGCAAGACAGGCCTGACAAGCCCTGGAGCTTTCCCGGGGTCCCTTCCCAGCTGGTCAACCTCTCACATCCCTCCCTGGCCCCAATTGTGCCACGGTGGGGTCCCTTGGCCTGGCCTGTGCCTTCTCGCAATCCGGGCTGAGGGACCCGTTCCCTCCGAGTGCATGAATTTTGTGCACCAGGCCTCTAGTATTTCATAATATTAAACCACTTTTGTGCTTCTAGGATAAACTCTTTTTCATCATACTGAAAGACTCTTTAGAAGTAGTTTTGCAATTACATTTGCTTGGTTTTTTTTTAAAATATATTTTATTGATTTTTTACAGAGAGGAAGGGAGAGAGATAGAGAGTTAGAAACATCGATGAGAGAGAAACATCGATCAGCTGCCTCCTGCACATCTCCCACTGGGGATGTGCCCGAAACCCAGGTACATGCCCTTGACCGGAATTGAACCCGGGACCCTTGAGTCCGCAGGCCGATGCTCTATCCACTGAGCCAAACCGGTTTCGGCTTGCTTGGTTTTTTTAAATCTTTGTGCCTAAGTGAAGTTTGTATTATAGTTTCTTATTTCATTCTTTTTTTTTTGAAGGTTTGATATCAAAGTCATCTTAGCTTCATAAAATGAAGTGGACAGCTTTCCATTTTCCCCACTATTTCTAAAACAGAGCACAGTGCATGTATCATGCCAACTTTCTATTTGTTGAAAGTATGAAAGGACATGCTAGTAAAACTGTTTTGCCCTGAGGAATTAATGATAGGTAATTTTTAAAAATTACATTTTCCAGTTTCTTTTATGGTTAGTAATATATTCAGGTTTTAAGATATTTCAAGATTTATGTTTCCAGAAAAGATTACTTTATAGAAATATTCTAATATAAAATCAAAAGATAGTTTTTGTTATTGTCTTATATTTTATATGTCTCTCTATCTGGTATTATATTATTTTCATTAGCAGTTTTCTTTATTTTTATTTCTTCTTTGTCTCTGTGAGATCTTTCAGAGGTTTCTCTATCTTATTTTTAAATTAAAATTCTTTAAATTCTAACCTATTAACCAAACAATAGCAATAATCTACTTAAAATTCAAATATAGCCATAACCATATTTCAAAATAGGGAGCATATATGCTGCTCTCCACAATCCCCAGGAATGTATAAAGTATTGTTCATTTAAGTAAACAAGATCAACTGCAGTTCTTCTTGTCCTTCTTATCTCAAGTCCAAACCATACATGTTCATGTATATTTTCTTGTAGGTGTGTGAATCCACTTGCCATTTTTATTTTCTCCTCATCTGGGTTTCTGGCTGTGAAATTGTATTGGAATTTTGTTCTCCTTTACCTCCGGATTTCCTAAGTTTTTTTAAATCCTTTATTCCCCACTCCTTTCCTTCTGCTCCCAAATTTCCTTTCCAGGACTTCCATCCAGACCCATCTATTTCTTCTCCTTTTCCTTCAGGTCAACTAATGCTATATTTTATCACCTAATTGTAAGTATCAATATCTTACTGGCAGAGTTTACCTTATTAGGAGTTGATTCTGAATGTTAGGCTTCTGGGGACCCACCGTACTGTCTTTGAAATGTGTGTGTGCTTGCTTCTGGGAAAGCAGAGAGTGCATTTGAAATGAATGTGATCTTGTGTGCCTACTTAGTTCACAGCCCGTGCTAAAGACTAAGTGAGGATACATTGTTATGTTTCTTCTAGGTCAGTGATGGCGAACCTTCTGAGCTCGGCGTGTCAGCATTTTGAAAAACCCTAACTTAACTCTGGTGCCATGTCACATATAGAAATTTTTTGATATTTGCAACCATAGTAAAACAAAGATTTATATTTTTGATATTGATTTTATATATTTAAATGCCATTTAACAAAGAAAAATCAACCAAAAAAATGAGTTTGCGTGTCACCTCTGACACACGTGTCATAGGTTCACCATCACTGTTCTAGGTGATAGCAGTAGCCCTTTGGGTGTCCTCACTGCGAGTCTTCTGCCTTCCAACTCCCGCACCCATCTCACCCATCACCACTTCCCCACCCTCTGGTTGGAGGGACCCCTCTTAAGCTCTAAAATATCTGTAGTATCATTTAAGGTCACCGACGGTCAAGCCCTCATTTTCCTGTTGGAACTTGCTTTCTGCATCCCCTCTGAATGTGTGATACCTTCAGGAAAATGGATTTTACGCTGTTTCCTTCAGCTGGAGTTTCTCTCTTTCCTCGGAGCTCCTATAATCACTTTTTTTCTTATTTCTATTGTTGAACTTACCCCAGTCTACCAGGTATCTGCGTTAGGCCTTTTTTCCTTGACTAAAATGTCATCTCCACAAGGGCCACAAGTATCTTTTCTCTTCTTCTTTTAATCCCCATGGAATTTTATCAAATGGGATCATTCAGTAAATGTTTTTCAACTGAGCCGAATGTTATGTCAAACAGAATCAGGTAGTATACTGCCCCGACAGGCTGGAGTTATCGAGAGCAGATTAATGAGGGCTGTAAAGTCCAGGTGGATGTTCATAAGCAGAGAACTCCAGGAGGGTGGGGCTGGAGGCGGGAGCAGGCCTGGAAATAAGTGCCGGAGCCAGAGGGATCTTTTCTTTTTGGCCACAAGGTGGCAGGCTATGCCCATGTCAGTCCCCACATATAAGGCAGCTTTGTGAGGCTGAAATTTTCTGTCCTATTTTGGAAATGCATGTTTATTTAAAAAAAAAAAAAAAGCGAAGCTCGTGCAGCGTCATGGCTGAAACCTGGGTGTAGCTGAAGCACAGACCCGAGCAGGCCGGCCGCTGCGCTTCCAGGTCTCGGCGCCTTCCAGGTTGGACTCCCGCCCGAGCCCCACAGTAACGCACTGCAGATTTTGAAACATTGAATTTCCCTTAAAAGGATGAAGAAAATGTGAATAAATGTGCATGAACGCTCAAGCTGGGAGAGAGGAAATACTATCTGACCAGAGGGTTGAAACGCAGTTTCTCCACTAGATAGCAGACGAGGACAGACGGCCTGCGGAAGGTTCTGCCTATAAACCCAAAGAAAACATTCGTTTTCTCTAGAAGCTCATTTTTCCCCCTTTAAAAAGCCAAGTGTTTTTCATGTGTTCAGACCATTCACATGTATCAGTCTGATATAATCTGGGATATAAGTAGCAGCTTTACTTCAATTCATGTGTATGCAATTTCAATTCGGATACAGTTTCCTTCACTTCATTCATTGCCTCTAGTTATGTGTGTGTGTGTGTGTGTGTGTGTGTGTGTGTACCAAATAGTCTTTTATTAAAATAATTGCTAAGAATAGTTTATTCTGGAATTCTGCCTAAGTTATTGGGTGATATGTTAAGTCTTTCCATTAATACTGATTTCTGTTATATTTGGAAGATGGAGAATAAATTAGGGAGAAAAGATAATCCTTGTTTTCAGGTTCCCTTATCATTTCGTTCAGGTTCTTTTTCTCTTTGTGTGGAAGTGAGGTAGAAATGAGAACATGGTGATTTGTTTCTGTGCTGGAAGCCGGTCCATCCTTGCTGCTTGACAAAGTCGCTGCAGGGAAGAAACATCTGCACAGCATGTTTCAAGGGACCTGGCATACTGTTCTTAATATGTTTGCTTCCCCCTCTTAGCGCTATGTGTTTTAACCAAGGCCACCTCCCTGAGAAAGGTTGTTTCCCCAGGTGGGGATGTTGGGGATTGACGGGACTGGAGTTGGGGATTGACGGGACTGGAGAGGGGAATGAATCAGTAAAACCCCCTAGTGTTACAAAAATACCATGTACTACTTATGAAGAACTTGGACTAAGACTGTTGGCAATAAATTTGGGACTTGTTGGGCCCACATCCCCAGGGGTCTGCCCACCAGGGAAAGCACCAAAGCCTATACCCCTGGAGACCCACCGACAAAGGGCAGTCCCAGGGAAGGCAAGCAGCGAGGCTGGGAGGACATAACCTTTATTGGGTAGGATATTCTCCTTCAGTCACTTCCTTGTAGCTTATCAGTAGAGCAGTAGAATAGTGACCCTGGAATAGCCCTTATAATGGAACACAGAGATTAACCTAGACAAGATTAAAATCAACAGAATTAGATAGAGACAGGATTTTTGGCAAAGGTCAGATAAGAAACTATGGACATGAAACAAGGAACTGTAGAAGGTTAAGGGAGGACCCAAAACATACCATGAGGTGACTATAGAGGCATGCTTATAGGATCAAATGGTATAAATAAAGATGTAACAGGAGAATAAAGAGAGAACCTGGCTATGCTGATCAACTGAACGCTGTCTCTGTGTCATTCATTCTTCGCCGACTCCGTCCACACCTTTGGGAACCCCTGGACCTGCTGGGGCTGGACCCCAACATTTCTGGAAATACCATTTGCCTTCTGCGAAGCTGGGGATGTGCAGCAGAAGAGAGTGCAGCAGGCTGAGGAGCAGGGTATGTTTGCCAGAGCAGAGGGACTTCAGAGAAGAGGGAAACGCTGGCTCAGGCCGTGAGCTTTATTCAGCAGATGGACTTCACAGCTCTGCCTTTGCCAGGCGCAGGACTAAGCTTATCGTTTCTGAAATGAAGCGCCAGAGCCAACAGACTTTTCTTATTGATCATTTATTACAGATTACGATATGAGAGATACTGTTTGTTTTCCTATCTTTGCAGAGCAACAGCAAGAGAGGCTTGACATTCACAAACTACTTTTAAATGACAACTATTCAAACGCTACCTATTCCATAAATCCTTAATGATTTTTTTTCCTTAAAAAAGAGTCATAACTTTCAATAGAATTTCATAAAGCATCCTAACGTTGGATAGAATTTCATACCATGACCATAAACATAGCCACAGTTCTGCCCAGGAGGCTGCGTTTCTAGACTTCCTCCGCTCCCTGCCCTGCCCTTCTTCACCTTCACCTGGTCCGCTACCGGGTGGCCCCCCTTCACGGTCAGGTCAAGTCGGGATGTCTGGGGACTTGAACTTGATCCTGCTGGGAGTTCCTAGTGGCCTAGTCCCCATCGCTCTCGCTGGAGCTGGTGCTGTCAGATGACTCACTGCTGCCGTGCTTTCTGGGGGGCCTCACCCTCCTGCTGGGGTGGGATTTTCTGTGAGCCCAGGAGCCCCTTCTCCGCGGCAGACCCTGACCCCAGGCGGAGCTGTTCTGCCTGTGGGGACCGTACTGATTTCTCCCACTGTGTGCGGGTATAGTCCCCTCATTATTGGGGTCACTGTGGGAACCTATTTCACTTTTAATGTCATTGTCAAGGCCCTGAGGAGGAATGAGCTGGCCTGGACTTTGGCTTTTACTAGGAAACCTTTGCTTTTCACTCACGGTCACTTGATTCCTGTTAGAATGTTCCGTACCTTTCCTACTCCCCGCTTTGCCATTTCTCGGGATTTCATTATAATTCGTACTTTCAGCAACGTCACGACTGCCTTCTCTTCTTTTCTCTTTTGGGGGTACATGAGGGTAATGAAACTCCACTTTCCCTTGGTGAGCATTTTGGCCGCCTGCATCCACTCTGTTTCCTTCTTTTCCAGGGAGTTCCTTGAAATTGGTGCTCCCTATGATGTCGTTGCTGCCCCCCACGAGGCTAACATCGGCGGTGTTTGCCTCTCGTGCTGTTTCACCTCGGGTTCCAATGGCATTTCTGCCATCTTCTGCTCTCTCTGGGATTTCGTTATAACCCGGGCCTCCTGTTTCGGGGTCAATGGTCTCTGCTTCCCCCGGGCCTGAAAGCTCTGTTTGAATATCTGCACCCTCCAGGTCAGGACCCATAGCTTCTCCTTTACCTGAAACGTCCTTAAAAGGCTGGCCATCTCCACTGAAAGGAGAGATACTGTCCCCCCTCTCCTGAGGATCTGGATAACCGCTGCCTTCGAAATCACTGGGGATTTTTTTGAGTGTGGGGAACTGTTTTAGATAGTCTGTGTTGTACTGGATGTGGTGCGTGCTTTTGCCTTTGGCTGGAATATCGGGGGCTTGCGGATCTCTTTGATGATTCTTCTTACCTTTTGAGGGGGCTTTAGCATGGTTTGCACTTGCTGGAATTTTGCTCGGAACATTCCTGGGTTTGATATCTTTGTTTTCGTCCCCTAATGGTTCAATCACAGCTCCTGGCGCCATTATAAGTTGTGTATTATTTCTGGTGAGAGCTGCACCATATTCTTCTTGGTCATGAAGTCCGCTGAGAACATCGTCTCCATCCTCAGACCCATAATTCCCAGTGGATTCGGGGTAAATGGGCGTCTGTAGGTCATTGTGGGCGTTATCTTTGTGACTAATACTATAGTCTTCATTCGTTGTCTGTCTATTTTCAAAAAGATTTTGGGATTTACTAATTTGGTTATTTTTATCAACTCCAAGGAGGGACAAGTCTTTCTCTCTCTCTTGGGCAATGTTGTCTTTAAATGCTGGCTCTTGATTTCTTCTCTTGCCAGAAAGGTGAAGAGCAATATTGTCTTTGTTTCTTTCTTCCTGGTAAAGTGTAAATTTTAACATAAAGTGATTATTTTATGTTAACTTTTAAAAATCTAATAATTCTTAGGAGACATATATTTTTAAAAAACAACTAGATACTTAATACAAAGATTCTGTTAACTCAAGAGAGGTTTATTAGTAGAGCTAATTCTGGAATGGCCAAAGCAGGTTTTATGGAGAAAGAGGGATGAACAAGGTTTGAAGGATGGGTAAGATTCAGATACATGGAAGGAAGTGATGAGAATATTTTAAGAATAAGTTTGCATATTCAAAGGTTTGGAACCAGGAAACATTGAAAGATACTGTGAATGAAACTATAAGTTTAGAGTTGAGAAATCCTAAAGAAGTGAATAAGAAATAAATTTGGAAATGTAGATGACTAGGGCCTGATTTTGAAGGAAGACAGAGTGTGGTCTTCATCTTGTGACTAGTGAGTCATTGCAAGTGACACAGAGCTCATATTTTTAAAACTATTCTCTCTCCTATTCTCATGTTCTTCTCTCACTCTCTCTATCAAATATTGTACTGTTCTACTGGAAGGACTGCCTGTTTTTATACATGTACTTTATAAATGTTAGAAGCAGTGAGGAAATTGTTGCATCAGCTCACACTTGAATCTCAAGATAAAATTGGTTTATGGACATGCTCTCTATTCTTATGAAGCTGGCTAATACGCAATATACTAAAGTTCCAACTTGTAATATTTTTAAGAGCTAATATAAAATGATTTATTTGAGGAGTTATAACATCATTATTCACTAATATTTTATTTGGCAGGCATATTCTGAAAATAAGTTTGCAATGAAAAAAATATAATAAAAAAACTTTATAGTGAATTGTTTTTAAGTAAGAAGTATTTTAATTTTTAATATATATTTTTATTGATTTCAGAGAGGAAGGGAGAGGGAGAGAGAGATAAAAACATCAATGATGAGAGAGAATCATTAATTGGCTGCCTACTACATGTTCCCCACTGGGGATCGAGCCCACAACCCGGGCATATGTCCTGACCAAGAATCGAGCTGTGACCTCCTGGTTCATAGATCAAAGTTCAACCGCCGAGCCATGCCAGTCTGGCAAATAAAAAGTATTTTAAACATTTGACTTATTTTAAGACATTAAATCTTGGCAAGTTTTACATGGACATTTATATTTCCCTTTGCAATCAAGTTTGTTTGCTTATTGCTAATTATTCTTTTGAGTTTAAGCAGGTGCATTAGAAAATCATTAGATTATAATAATTCCTTCTTACCTTTTCCCCCTCTGTATTCTGAAGTGAGAAGTTTTATTTTACATTTAGTGCTTTTACTGCTTTTAAAACAGTAGCATATATAGTAATGAATTCTGTGCATTTTACTAAAGACTGAACAGAGTTCTTTTATGAGTGAAAACATAAAACAACTTTTAACTTGTTTTATGTGGTGCTCAATTATTTTTGCAATTGCTTGTGTTAACTGATTGCCTGATGGTTGCACTGTTGACTGTGTGATGATCTCTGTGTCAGTTGGCTGGTCTGCTTTCCTCTGCTCTGTTTTTCTATCTGTACACCTTCACTTATATTATTCTTTTTGTGGATATGGCCTCTCCCAGCTACTTGATTGCTCAAATCCTACTCATCCTCCACAGCTCAATTACTCCCATTATGTACTTTTCCCTGAACACCCAGCTAGGAACTAACCTTTGTCTAATCCAAGCCCGGAAGCATACTATTCTGAGTACCTCTTAGGTAGCACTTTGCACATTCTGTCTGGGGTTAATGATTTTTGTAAGTGCCATTTGTTTCCTTTATAATTCTAACATCCTGGAGAGAGAGAATTAAGTTCTCTCAATCATTTCATTTCACATAGCATCTTGCACAGTAGGAAGTGCTCAATACAAAGGTGTTCCAAAAAATAAGTTTAACAGGAAGTTAGTCTTAGCGATGCATCTGCAGAACAAAACAACATTCTGAAGGGAAACTACAACCTTCATGGGCAATGAAGCCAGATTTGGGAAAAAGTAAGTAGTCCTTTTCCTGATGGCATTTTAAGCCGCGTCCAGCTCCTTGGCCAATGAATTTACAAGAAGGAACTGAATGAAAAGAATTATTGTTCCATTCCAGAGACAAGGCCCTTATTCTTTCTCTTCTGAAAATCCTGGCACAGATGGTGTCCTCTGTGCAATGCATTTAAGGGACATTAGAATGTGTCACTCTTTGGACCCAAATGACCTCTAATCTGCATCATTAGAGCATATAGTACCACCAAACATTAATCAGAAGCAATAAACCAAAAAAATTGTCATGGGTGTCCAGAGTCCACCAGTACCACCCCTGGCTCAACAGGTCCTGAAGGAGGACAAGGTTTGGGCCAGGGCCTGGGTGGGCCACCTATGTCTGGAACACAGAGTCCCACAGCAGAGCCGCCTGAGGAGCCTGGGGTGTGAGGGAAGGACAAAGGCACCAGCCGCAGACCAAAACCCCAGAGCAGGAGAAAAGTAAACTCTGTCCCCCTAGAATTTTCCCAAGTTTGACTCCTGATAAGGATCATCACTCAGAAATTCAGCTTACCTTTATGTCCGTTTGATTTTTCCTCCCAGGTGATGTGTAAACATACTTGAAAATATAATACCCATGTTTCTCATGGTGACCCTTGTAGGTGACCTACAAAAATACAACATTCTATTAAGATGGGTTTATCTCTGACTACGAAGTTTCCTGGTTCTCTTTTTCATAGTACAGATATTTTAAAATTTGGGCGAAGTCTAATTCTGCCTCTCACAAATGGCAGTTCTTCCTATAACCACAGGAGGGCGTGTGTCCCCCAGTCCCTGAAGATAGCCTGTTCCTTTCTTTTCTGCATGTCTCTAAATCCTTTTTCCTTAAGGATGACTATCAACTGCCCTCTCTCCCCGGTGTATCAATTTGATGACCACATTTCAGTGGAAATGGAGCACTTGGAATATTTTCAGGTGGGAGGGGGCAGGGGATTAGAAGAAAAGCAGATTTTACAATATACATGTCTGATGTCAAATTGGCAAAACTCGCAGCACGAAAATCCAGGCTCTTAAATTTGCAGTTTTTGCCTTTGTATTTTCAACCGAGACAGAGAACAGAACATTGTTAGTTCTTGGAAGGGAATTGTCGGAGACTGCCAGAAGAAGCCCTGGCAGGCGGGAGTAAGCTGCAATTTGGTGACCTGAAAAGCGGAGGGGGCTTGTTTAACTTTCTGGATGCAGACGGAAACCCACTCCAAGTAAACAGAACTCCCCTTATGGCTCATTCATGCTCTTTCCTTTGTTTTCTCCCTCATTTATTGCTCTGTTCTCCTGTACATGTGTGGGAAAACGGTGTTTGCTAATAACAATATCCCAGAATTTTTCCTCGCTTATCCCTCTGAAAGAAGAAATCATATTGAAGATAAATCTCCATTTAGAATGCTTTTCTCTTTTCTGTCGCACACTGTGACGGAATTAAAGTGCCAAAGTTATGGTGTATGATTTTGTGCTTTCATCCTAAGTACACAAGACTATTTTTGACAGTTAACATTTCCTCTGACTGACTTCTTTCTTTACAGAGTTGAAATGGATTTATTTGAGAAGAATAACTCTGTTTACCCTCTGTTCTTCCACACAGTCTTGCCTAGTTTTCTCAGCCTGTGGTTGAACCGTCTGAAAGGAAACAAGAAATAAAACTTCACCAAACATCCATTCTCTCATTCATGTCTGCAAATAGCAAATCTTTTATTTTTCTCTCACTGGGTTGTACCACTCGATGTGGGAAATCATCCTGACCAGAAAGGATGGATACACTCAGCACGTTAATATTGGTCTCAGTGCTACAAGCGGGTGCCCGCACACCTCCCCCACAGGGAGATGATGCCATCGCCATTACAAAACAACACTTGCATAAATTCAGTAATGGTGCCCGGCCAGTGTGGCTCAGTGGCTGAGCATCAACCTATGAACGAGGACAGTGGTCGGCAAACTCATTAGTCAACAGAGCCAAATATCAACAGTACAATCATTGAAATTTCTTTTGAGAGCCAAATTTTTTAAACTTAAACTCTATAGGTAGGTACATTGTTATTAACTTAATTAGAGTACTCCTAAGCTGGCCTTTGCGAAAAACATCCTCAATCTGAGGGGTCGACCTCAGCGAACGTACCCCCACTTCTTCTAACACCACTTCTTTAAAATAGACTCGCCCAGGCCGAAAACTGACTTCTGCGCATGGGCCACGAAGTTTCAATTGCACTGTACATGCGTGCCCGCACGTGGTATTTGTGGAAGAGCCACACTCAAGGGGTCAAAGAGCCGCATGTGACTCGCGAGCCAGGAGGTCATGGTTCGATTCCTGGTCAGGGCACATGCCTGGTTGTGGGCTCAATCCCCAGTGGGGTGTGTGTGCAGGAGGCAACCGATCAATGATTCTCTCTCATCATTGATATTTCTCTCTCTCTCCCTCTCCCAATAAATATACATTTAAAAAAATTCAGTAATGGCTTTGTGAGTTCAGACAGCCTGCCGCTGGTTATCCTGCAAGAGTAAAGCCACGGCCCTGCATGAAAGGGGAAGTACCACACCTGAGGGTGGGACTTTATCATGCCAGTCACCTGGGCAGATATTTCTTTCAGGGAAAGGAAAACGGGGTAACCTGCAGATTGGGACAAAATACTTCTCTTGATCTGACATGAAAGTGTCAAAATATCTTGAGGGTATGGGGGGAGGGTGGCGGGGGAGGGGGGGGTAAGAGGTATCTATTAGAGAAAGGCCAGAAACTAAAAAGACATAGACCCAGGCATCTTGTTCCAAGTTTTTAGGGTAAAATTTAGATGTCACAGGAGAGCATGCAGAAGAAGACCTGAGAATCCTGGAGCGAGCTCGCTGTGGAAGCAACAGGCATACCAATTCTCTTAGTCTCGGTATTTTTATTTCCTTATTTATTTCTGAAATGCCTCAGTTATCTCAGATGTGGCAAGAGGAGCCAATGGGTGGGAATGGTTTGTGTCTGACTGCGTATGCTGAAGGGGAAACGGGCATCATGGTTGCTGGAAACCAATTCCAGCATGTCATAATTTCAAGAGTTTCATCAAAAGGTTGATGAAACTTGGGGACTCAACAGGGTTGAGTCACACATGTAGTCACCTGTTGGGAATGGCTGAAGGCATTTCCCCAAATCTGAATAGGATACATTAAACTGATTGCTGCTGCCAGACAGCTAAAAGGCATCTTAATCTACATGTTATTGCCTCCTACTGGCCAAACACCTGAACAGCTGTAGGCTAATTCCCCCATTCTGACAATGTTTCTGTATACCCTTTGAAGTGTATATCTCTGCCTCACCTCAGGACAAGTTGTGTTAATAAAAAGCATGGGGTCCTGGGGACGAGGAGAACTAAGGCCTTAAACTTTAAGACCATAGAACTTAGCTCCTTTAGCTAAGCTCCTCTGACCACAAATGCCTTTCAAAATTATATTTCGTCTCCGGACTCTTTATTAGTCTCTGGATTTCTACGCCATCTACACACAGCCTTCTCTAGATTCCTGAACCCTTCTTGATGCTGGGACAAGAACGCCAGCACATGGTGGTGTTAGTCGTGTAAGAGAGAAAACCCTTAAGGGAAAGAGAGTATTATGCCTGACTAAGCCTTAGAATTCTGTATTTCCCAGCAGTAAGATATGAGCAGTTATCCTGCTTGCTTTCAGATACCGTACTTCTACTCTCTCTGTGATGATCCCTACGCATGTCATTTTCTGAGTTACTTTGCCATCTGGCTCCAGTCTGGGCTTGGCTGATGGGAGACCCACCTGAGACTGAAGGGTAGAAGGAGAAGCCAAGGTATGTCCTTCCCTGCTCTCCTCCTTTGGGCTGCATCTCTAGGATTGGATGCATCTCTTTTGTGGTCCTAGTTCCTGGTACCCCCAGGACTGGGGCCCCCACGTCCTTCCTTGTTCCTCCAGCCCAAGGCAGTCTTCATGTTGCCTCATCACCCTTGGTTGGCCCTTTTCTGTTCATCCTGTACTTTATAACTATTCTCCAAATAGAACCCTCCCTACTGAAATCCCTGTCATGAATTTTGTTTTCTTGACTGAACCCTGACTGACGAAATCATCTTAGAAATAAACTCAAAACTTTCGTAAAAGTGCTCTATTGGCTGAGCTCTAAGGCAGATCTGCTTGACATGCCATTTCATTCTAGAAACAATAAAAGTTAGCCTATTATAGATACAGAGGACAAACTGGTGGCTGCCAGAAGGGAGGGGGTAGGGGGACAGGCAATATAAGTGTAGGGAATTAAGAGGCACAAACTTCCAGTTATAAAGTAAACAAGTCAGGGACATGTAACGTACAGCTTTGGGAGCATAGGCAATAATATTGTAATAACTTTGTATGGGTACAGTCTTTTTGTGGTGATCATTTTATAATGTATCAAAGTATTGAATCACTATTTTGTAAACCTGAAACTAATATAATATCGTATGTCAATTATAATCCAACTTTTAAAAGACAGAGAAATACACATTAAATAAATAATGAAATATAATTTTATACTCAATGGATGGGGATCTAGAAGGAAGGGTAGTATGATACATATTGGTGGTGAGAATATTAAGATGTATAGCACTTGGGGAAGAAAATATGGCAATATCTAAGGGAAAAAAACAGTCCCTTCTACTCAATACTTCTCAGAAATCTAGCTATTATAGAAAACAAAAGTACAACTCTTGCTCATAAAAATAAAAGCACAAATTTGTATGAAAAAAATACATTGTCAATGACACCTTATATTTATATAGCACTATACAGTTTGTAAACTACTTTCCTGTAAATAATCTCTCTGATTCCCATAATAATCCCTGTGAGAAAGGAAGTAGAGAACCAGAATGGCCCACACTTACACAGCTGGTCGCACTAGTACAAGTTAAGGAGATATTTTGGCCTAAAGCCTCTGCCTCAAAGTCCCAGGGTTAAAATAATAAATTTCTAAATGGCCTGATGTATGGAAAAAACATATTTAATAACAAGAGGTAATGTTCCTATACTTTATATTAAGTACTTTCAGGCATCTTTTATCATTTTATCTTTTATTGCCTTTTTTATGTTGGTTCTTAAATGACCTTGTGCATTTACATTTAGATCTTTGCATCATTTCTCCAAAAATGTCAAAACAGTGAAAACAAATCTGAAAATGGGGCTACAGGAAGGAGAAAGCATCAAAATTAAATGATTAGATACTAATTTTAAAAAGAAATGACAGTTTGTGGTATTTGGCATCTTCTCAGAGAACATAACACATGCGCATGTATTAAAAACATACTTGATAGTATAGAGCACCTTAATGTACTTCACAATCATAAATCCTGAACTTATAACAGAGCAACTTATCACAAAGTCTTTAGAGTCAATTGCATATTGATGAATATTAATTAAATTACATGGCCCAATAATCAATCTTTTCTTTTCTTCCATTTTTAAATTTTGTTTTTGAAGGAAACATGACTCCCACATATGCCTCTTTGACATAAAAATTATTTTGAGCTGAAGGCAATTAAAAAGTAGTAAGGAGAAAAAGTTCCTCCTCTTCTGTCTAAAGGCAGGAAATAAATTCTCCTTTTACTGCAAAGAGACTTTTACCACCCAGAGCCCACACCTGAGGAATGTGCAAGCAAACCTTGTTAAACTAACCCCAATGCTCCTACTTGAGGATGATAAGGTCTCCCTAGCCTAGCTGGACTACCCATAGTCCAAACCTTTGTGTCTTGTCAATGCTTCATAGATTTATTGTTTCTTTCTTTGCCTAAAAGGTAAAATAAAAGCTTCCTGCCCCAGTCACTTCTTCAGGTCTTCATTCTCTTATGAAGGCTCCCAGTACATAGAAAAATTCAATAAAACTTGTATGCTTTCCTCCCTTTAACATATCTTTGTCAGTTAATTTTTCAGACCTAGCCAGGGACCCTAGGAAAGTCGAGAAAACATTTTTTTTCCTCCCCTACAATTTGAATCTGGATTCTAGTTCCAAAACATATGTAAATGACTCAATATATACCAATTTCTGATAACATCAAACTATTATTAACTAATTTGGATAAATGCTCAAATAGAATCTATATATCTGGGAGAAAACATCATATTTGGCCATTTATAATTCCAAATTTTGTTTCTATGTCTTTGCAAATCCTCTTTCATTTGAAATTTGCACCCCTCCCCTCTCCCCCCATACCCACTTGGCAGCTCTCCCGTGCTTGAATGTGGCCCTGCGATGGAGATGGCATTGTGTCCCGCTGGGGAGGAACTCTGGCACCTGCTTTTGACCAGTGGTCACTGGATGGATGTTGACATAGCACATTTACTGGAAAATGGTTGGACTGTGCTGCTCAAAATAGATTCATCCTGGGCTGGTGGGATTGAGCTGGGTCAGCAAGACCCACTTGACCCCCATCATGCCTAAGCACATGCCTGGTGGCCCTGATTGAGCTGAGCCATGTGGATTGGGCCTGGCAGATGTCTATTTTAAGCAGCACGGCCCCCACAGGTCTGCTGGAAGCTGTCAGCTGAGAGGGGACAAGCTTTTCTCAACTTCTGCTGTCCTCATCCGATGACATGGTTCATGCTTGTCAGTGGGTTACCCAACTGGTCACCCACTCGCTCAGGACCTATATTTAAGTACTTCTGGCAACAGAATGACCGCTGGTTTCCATGGTTCTCCAACGGAAAGGTTACTCTGGGAAGTTCGGATGCTTTCCAGACATTATCTAATTGGCACCGTGTCTGCATTGCAGAAAATATCGGTAACGCTCAGCATTTTCACAAGATAATTTAGTCACATCCTGAGTACTCATCTGGGTGAATCAGAGGGGAAAAGAGACACAAAGGAAATTGGAGCTTGATCTGGGGTAAGCGTGGGACACTCCCTCCCATCTTTAGCCTCACTGGTGAAGAGAAAATCATTACCAAGATCTCACAGTGTTGAGGTGTTACAAGAATTACAGGAAAGCTCTGCTCCTTTTGTGTTGCCATATATTTACAAAATCTAGTTGTTTAGCCTTAAAATATTCAAGTAATTTTTTTTTCTGTTTTTAGTAAGATATTAAAAAGTTCTTTTGACATGTTATAATTTGGGTCTCTGAGCCTTTTCTCATTAGCGTTAGCTGATTTGAAACACTGTGGCTGGCTCTTGGTTTTCTCAAAAGTACTCTTTTTGGTGTTTCCTAAAAAGGCAATGTGTGGACATGCTGAAATTCAGCACTTGTTCATTGAAGGCCTCCTTGGTGGGAGGCTTTGGTGTCTAGTGCTGGATGCTTTCTTTTTGCTTCATTATCATTGAACTAGGTAAGCGTTACTAACTTGAAAAGACATTGCTTAAGAGAAAAATAGGTAAAAAGAGCAATAGGTTTTATGATGCATAACTGAAATCGGAAATGCTTACTGGTGCTGCCCAGGTCAGATGGGATAGAAGCAGTCCCAAGCAGACAATTTGCATCTTTGAGAATCTCTGTAAAAAGACAATATATTTTACCTTAAAGCATTGCCAATTACAAACTGCAGTTCTAAGAAGTAATGTAATACAAAAGTATATTCAAACACCCTTCCCCTAGAAGTCCTTTTTTAATTAAAAAACAACAAACTAGGTATAATTTACTTATACCCAAGTGTGGATACTTTAATGAAAGTGCTTTTATATGTCTAATTATTCCATGTGAAAATGAAAATTGTCCAATATTATGTTTTTTATTTTTTAATCCTCACCTGAGGGTATTTTTCCATTGATTTTTATAAAGTGGAAGAGAGAGGGAAAGACAGAAAGAAATATTGATGTGAGAGAAGCACATCGATTGGTTGCTTCCTGCATGAGCCCCAACCAGGGCCTGGTTTGGGGAGGAGCCTGCAACCAAGGTACATGCCCTTGACCAGAATTGAACCCAAGACGCTTCGGTCCGCAGACTGACGCTTTATCCACTGAGCCAAACCGGCTAGGGGTGTCCAATATTAGTAAGGCAATGAAGTCATTCAAATAAATGAATTTTATCGACTTATTTATTTGCTCTATTGTCAGCCTAAACTTTTTCCCTTTGTCTTTAGAGAGAGATCATTTAATTTATTTACTTATATAATTCATAATAACATTAAGTTTAGTATAGCAGCTTATAACATACTCTTTAAATGATTTGCGAGGGTAGCAGGCTCCATGGTGGGGAATATAATTTTGTCTGCTACCAGACTGGTTCCCCAATATATGTTCTTATATTCATTAGCAATGAATCTGATCTAGTATCCATCCCTGGGCTGGAGAGTGAAACAAACGATGTAATATTTATATTGATACTAACATATATTAATACTAAAATGAGCCAAGCATTATTCTAAAAATTTTACACTTATTCAATTAATAAAGTCCCATAATATCCCTATGAGTTAGGTGGCATTACTATTCCTGTTTTATGTTAGGAAATAGACACAGAAAGTCAAGTAACTTGTCCCAGAATTCCCAAGCATTAAGGGGCAGAACTGGGATTAATAACTGGCAATGTAACCAGAGAGCCAGGATTCTTAATCAAAACTTTATGCCACTTGGAATGTTTTCATTCTTTTATTTATTATAGAGAAATCTATATGTAGTTGATTTAAAGGCAAATAATATTTGATATTGGGCTCAACAAAATTATGTTTAAAACATTAACATTTAATGGACCAGAATGACAAATCTCAGTAAAAAGGTGGGTAGAGGGGATGGGAAGCGATTAACCAAAGAACATACATGCATATATGCATAACCCATGGACACAGTAGTATGAGAAGGCTTGGGGTGGGGTGGGACCTGGGTGAAGGGGGCAAAGGGGGGAAATGAGGGACATCTGTAATACTGTCAACAATAAATTAAAAAAAAAACATTATCATTTAGCTATGGATAAAGGTACATGTTTATCCTTCAGTAAATATACTAAAAGGATCTAGTTAGTTCACTGAAGTCAAGTGGCCATTAGATTGAAAATAAAAGTCAACATAGCATTGAGTTACTAATCTGTTGATTTTAATAAACATTAAGTATTTTACTAAGTACCACACAGACATATAACAACCAATATGAGAATAAAAAATGTATACCACTCTTTGAGAATACTTGAGGAAAAGCACTTTTAATGGGAAAAAATAATCTAAATACTGTTGTAATCTTCAAACATTTCAGGGTTAAAAACACCTTTTATTTGAAGAAATACATATAACTATTAAATATATTCTAAAATTCTAGGCTATTCTCTTCAAAATTAATGTAATTTTAAGAACCTTATTTCTATCTGTAATGTAGCCATCCAAGCATTTTACAGATCAGGACAATACAAGTCACTTATTAAACGACTTAATGCTGAGAAATATCAGTCCAGATGATACCGGCACAGACGAAGTTGGAAAGTATGAATAAGATCACATTATCTTTATCCTGGTTTATAAGTGAAGGGGGAGAGTAGTATTAGAGTCGTTGAGTTATTGTGGATCTTGATAATGCTGACAGTTAAATCAAAGAAGAAATTGCCATCAGTTTTAGCTGTTAATTTCTAGAGCTTGGTAATGTACTTTCTATTGTATAAAACAAAGCACTAAATATTACACAGTTGTGCTCAATAGAGAATACCTTCAATTTGCATTTAGTTTCAAAAGTCATCTCTCTACCTGGTTGGCATGCATCCTGAAAATGTAAACAATTGTATTATAAAGCTATCAAGAAAGCCAAATTACCTGGTATCGTTTAGCTTCAGAATACCTGGCTTCTTCAGGATTAGCAGTTTCTGGCATTTTGCTGAAATTTAAAGTTTGTTAGAGTTCCCAATGGCCAATCAGCATGGGCTCACTTAGCACTAGCAAAAACAATTTGTTACCAGTGCCCACAGATAACCATAGGGGGCAAAGTAATTTTAATCTAAAAATGTTTTTGCGGTGGAAAGCTGCTATCAAATGTTCCAGAAAGTGGAATAAACAGAAAATATAAATACCTCAGTTTGGTATATCATGTTGTCAGATCATTAAAATTGATTTCAAAACTATTGATTAAGACTGACTGAATAATTAACAAGTTTAAAAATGGAAAACATTTTAGCAATCATTTTATGTAGAAAGTTTATAATTTCAATTTTGTCTGAATTAAATTCAGTAACACTTAAGAAAAATGTTGAGTGCCTGTTGTGTGCCAGCCATTGGGGAAACAGCAGTGAACAAAACAGAAAAAAAAAATCCCTGTCTTCATAGAGTTTATAATCTGATGGGGAGACAGATAATACACAGAATAAATAAGTAAAAGTAAGTTATGTAGTGACACAGACTTAGTCTAAGAAGAAAAAGCATTGCAGGAAGGGGGTGGGGACACTAGGGTAACATTTTAGATAGGGAATCCTGGGAAGGGCTCATTGAGAGGTGACTTTTGAGTAAAGACCTGGAGACATATGACTATCTAAGGGAAGAGCATTCTAGGTAGAAGGAAGAGGAAGAAGAGGGCCCAGAGGCAAGAGCCTGCTCGCTTCTTTCAGAAACAGAGAAGAGGTCAGCTTGGCTGAAGGGACTGACAAAGAGAATAACAGGAAATGAGGTCAGAAAGGCATCAGGTGGCAGGTGATAAAGGGCCTATGGGTCATGGCAAGGCTTTGGTAGGAGAAGGCAGCCCTTGGAGGTTTGGGGCAGAGGAGTGACTGAGGGAGCAAATGAGGTAGGAATAGGCAGAGACCGGCTGGGAAGCTCTTTGGGTAATATGAGGAAGAGCTGATGGGACGTGAACCAGAGTGGCAGCAGAAGGGGTGGGGAGAAGTGGTTATGTTCTGAATGTATTTTGAAAGTAAAGGCAATAGAATTTGGTGATGCATGAGATGTGGGTCGTGAGAGAAAGTCAAGAGTGAAGGATGATACCAAGTTTTTTGTTTTGAGCAACTGGAAGGATGAAGCTGCCTTTTATTGATATGGGGGAAACTGCAGAAAAAGTGGTTTGGGAGAAATATTGACAGCTTGGGTTTGACTATGAATGTTATAAAGTGGTCAGTTGAGGATACTGACTTTCTGAGTAGGTGGACACAGTATACCATATAGGAATATGCTTTTCTAGGACAATTGCCTGCTCTTCTGTTTTGCCCAATCTGGTTGTCAAAATCATAATTGCAATAGTTCAAGGGGTTCCAGTCAGTCTAAAAATATTATAATACCTTGAGGGGTAACTTATATTAGGAATCTGTGGGAAACATCAATAAAAGGTAACAAGTGTTCTTTATGGCATACCAAGTGATGAGAACTACCTATAAACACGATTTTAACAGACCATAAATGATATCTAATGAGAGTTAATTATAAACTCCCAATTCCTCCTAACTTCCTGTTTAGACAAAGAGAAAGAAATGAAACAAACAAATAGCCCTTGGGTAGCTGTAGCTGAGAGAATGGTGTCTTTTCTAGCTCAGGCTAATCCCTGTTTTAGCTTCATCTAAATTCTGAAGCTCCTCTTCTGATCAGCTGGAGCTGGTTTTTAAAACACTTGCTGGGACTAAAATTTGAGCTATTGAGCTAGGGCCACTGTTGACTCTCAGTCATTTACCATGGATTTTGGGGTATTTAAACATTGTCATTGACAATGGAAACCTTTAACTTAATTATATTTAGAATCAAACTTGCCTGAGTTCTAGTACTAACTTGCTGGGTCACTTGCTTAAGCAACTAAACTGAGCTTCTGTAAGCCTCAAGTTTGCCATCTGAAAACAGGGGGAGCATAGTAATAAGCTAAATTTTCATTGAGTGGTTACTCCGGTCCAAGCATTATTTTAAATGTGGTACATTGCCCTAACCAGTTTGGCTCAGTGGCCAGAGCATTGGCCTGCTGACTGAAGGGTCCTGGGTTCAGTTTTGGTCCAGGTCACATTCCTGGGTTATAGGCTCAATCCCCAGTAGGAGGCATGCACTCCTGACTTAAATGGCAGCCGATCAATGATTCTCTATCATCATTGATGTATTTATCTCTCTCTCCCTCTCCGAAATCAATAAATATATAACTATATAATAAAAGCCTAAGCAACCATTATCACGGAACGACCAGAATGACTGGTTGCTATGATGCACACTGACCACCAGGAGGCAGACGTTCGCCACAGGAGCTGCCCCCTGGTGGTCAGTGCGCTCCCACAGGGGGAGCACCGTTCAGCCAGAAGCCAGGCTCATGGCTGGCGAGTGCAGCAGTGGTGGCGGGAGCCTCTCCTGCCTCCACAGCAGTGCTAAGGAGCAGCAAGCCAAGCACTAAGGAGCAGTGAGCAGGTGGGCGGTCAGGAATGAGGGGTCCCAGACTGTGAGAGGGCACAGGCTAGGCTGAGGGATCACCCCCCAGTGCACAAATTTTGTGCACCAGGCCTCTAGTATATATTTAAAAAGAGTAAACTATAACTGTCTTTAATAAATACATAAGGTGCATTAACTCATTAATGTTTACAAGAGCTCTATACTGCAGGTGCTGCTATTATC